AGGAGACTTACAAGAGATCGAAAGAAACTCAGATGTATTCCTTAGAGAAACTCCTGTGTAATGCTTAATCTAAGAAAAACTGTTTTATATGCCTACTCTTCTCTATCACCCTGGAGGAAACTAGACTAAAAAACATACCTTATGTTGCTAATTCCATGTTCATTTATTTCATTGTATTACAGTTATGTCTACGTGACTAATGTCGGACATTGACTGCTATTTACACTTCTCCATATAGCATGTTTATTTGTTTGTTTGTGTATGTTCCTTCCTTGGTTTCACCTAATGGGTCATTAGTGCAGATATAGCTATGGACATGTAAGCTATTCCTTACCTCTTTTGAAGATTTCCAAATGGGAAAAACATGTTTCTAATATTCTCTGTCCATTGACCAAAGATGGCCAGAAAGTATAGAAGGGAGCATATTCGCTATACCTTTGTATAGATCACCTCTTTACTATTAACTCTATTCTCTACCCCTAAAGCATGTGGGAAAGGGAATAACTTACTTGCCTGGCATTTAGCAAAATTGTTTTCTAGGGGACCCAAGAGTTTGCTTTACCTGCCAGGAAGCTGGGTGGTTGAGGACAATGGAATCTGTCCCTGGCCCCACCCAGGAAACCTAGAGGGTGGGGTAGAAGGACAAGCTGGTGGCAGATCCTGGAAAGGGTGGCTGTGCTGGGAATAGTCTGCACTCCTAGAGTTGTAGACGCAAAGGATGTTTCAGTGTTTCCTACACACCACACACAGACCGTGAAGGAATCTGAAGAGCCTACTAAAGCTCCCACAAGAGAAAAGCGGTGCTGTGAACATCATCCAGACACAGAGAACAAACATTTTATTTTCACTAAGACAATTCTTGCCTGTTCCTCTTCATCCCTCTCCGTGAACCGGCCTCAGTTAGAGCACGAGGAAGAAGGAGAACCAAGCTCTTTCCTGCCTGCAAAAATTTCCAGCACAAGATAGGAAAGGAGCTAACTTAAATCAAATTGGGACTTTTGATTATTATAGTACCAAACAATCTAATCGCTGAATTAAGGCATGTTTGTGAAACTGAAATGAATTATAAGATGGTCTGTCAATTAAAATTGAGGAAATAATTCATGTAGTTTGCTACAATTCCTATACAATAGCAAGAGAATGCTCCTCTAAGGAGAATATGTAAAGGGACAACAGCAGACCCAAGCAATTTCAGTTTAATTAAAAGTTTCATTTAGCACTTATCCAACCTAGCCGTTACAACTGTATACTTAAGTGTTCATTCTAAGGAGAAGATGGAAACAACTTTGCATGAGAGTGTCCTATATGCCCAGGAATTGTGCTGGCTCTGGGGTGGCAAAGATGATAGATGGAGTTGGAAGTGGCTCTGAAAATAAGTTGCTAGAATGTCTAAAGAACAGGAGGAGGTGCTGAGAGAGTCAATCAAACTGTTGATTGGCCATAAAAGGGCTGCCTTGAAGGCAACCACTCTTAGGCTTCTTTGATGATTTTTTAAACTAATCTTTTCCAGTCTCTCAATTAGCAAGTTCAGCTTGTGCCTTTTAGAACAGACAAGAAAATTGGGAGTCATAGAACAATCAGACTATAGATGCTCAAGTTATAGTAATGGAACCTGTGGTTGGCTGGCAGAGAAATATTCTGAGATATGGATTTGAAGTTTCCAAAACTGCCCCCCCACACACAAATACAAGTGTGTGTATATATACGTATATGTATGTATACACATGTATATATATATCATATATTATATGTAAGGAAATGCAGATAGATAGATAGGTAGATAGATAGATAGACAAATAGATAGATATGAATTTACTTATTTGCAAAGACTACTCACACAAAGAAGGGTGATTTCACACCACTGGGGGCCAGCACAAAGAGTACTCTGGTCTTTAAAACATCAGATTTCAGGTGGAGGTGAAGAGAGAATTAATCAAACTCTCAAACTGTCATCGTCTCAGATTAGAGATGAGCCCAAACACCATAGAAACTTTCATTCACACAGAACATGATAGGAAGGCCCCTTAACCCACCATTTTAGTACACTTGTTGATATCAACAATTGGCAGTTTTCACTCTGATGGAGACTTATTTTGGCATAGTAGCTTCTGCCCCTCTCAGGATGGGGAGGAGAAATAATACAGAGCAAGAAAAGTTTCCTACTTGGGGGTTTGGGAAGGAAATGCCTAGATCAATCTTCCCTCAGCAACTCTGGCAGGAAGTCCTCAGTAGGAGAAATATCATGAAGACTCTGAGTGTTGAAGGGGGAAAGGTAGAAGAGAAGCTGAAAAAGGGGCTGGAGATTCTCAGAACTCAAATCACACAAACACGAAGTAGCGAGGTCCCAGACTTGACCTGGGTCCAATGTGAAAGCTGTCTCATTTCCAAACCCTAATCTGTTACCCCCAAATTATATTTTCTCTGGGTTTAAGTTTGATACTATAGGGAGAACCAGTGACCTATATATATATTCACATTTAGTAATTTTTTAAAAAATTCCCATCCACTTCTATGGTCTGTCCATACCATAGGGAATAGAAGTAAGAATATTACATTTCCCAGGCTCTCCATCCCCAGGTTTCTGAACGTGGCCTACATTCTGTAGTGAAACTTCATGTTATGAGATTTGGGAGGTGGCAGGTAGGCTGAAGCCATCTCATGGAGTGGATACAAGAGTTTCACAGACAGGAGCCTTGGCAGCAGCCTTGTGTTCCCAAGACGTTCCACCCCCTCACGGCTCTAAAGGAGCTGTGATGTCAGGAGTGATTTCCTACAGGTTCCTGATCTCTTAAAGTTAGGGGTCTGCACTGACTTCCTAACAGTTTTAAGGTATAATTCCCTATAATAGGGAAGAATTCTAATGAACAATTCTGTTTAGAGTGTCTACAGAGATTTCTATTTGCTCACTGAACTCTGACTAGTGCAGTGACTCGTCACCATTTAATGTTACCAAAAAGACCTCATTCAGGTGCCCTCAGAAATCCCCTCAAACACACAGGAAGCTAAAGTTTAGGAAGAGAACAGGGAACCATGAGCAGCGTCCGAATAGGAACTTCTCTCCTATCACAGACAAAGGGAACTGAAAGTCTTTTTTAAAGTCTCCCAAATTTAGTAATCTCATGAGGAGGACCAATCAGTGCTTCAGGACACAACAATATCATAAGTTGCTGAGCAACACTTCAGGTTGAAGGTGCTATTATGACATGTAAAGTATTTTTCTGTAAAATACCTCTGACCTTACCATATATTTCTTGAGCACCTCGTAAGAATGAGGCATTATGGCACCCAGCAAAGGGCAGGCATAGGAAAATTATACTTGGTTTTGCCTTGGAAAGAGGAGATGACAAGCCTGAATCACAGGATCAGACTCTTAGCAGAGACAGATATGATAGAGCTTTCACCTGGTCTAAGCCCCCGCTTCCAGGAAATGTGTTCCTTAACAATTTTAGGGCAGAACCATGCTGTGGGTCTCCTCCAAGTGACCTAGAAGTCAGTGTCAGAGGATGTTCAAAGCCCTCAGGATGTTTGCCCTCAGGATTTGTCACGGCAGATTAAGACCTCAACATAACAGTGTGGAAAATCCACATTGAGTATGTGTGTCATGACTGACATTGAGTAGTGAACTCACCATCTGATGGGCTGCCTCACTGCCAGGTGGCTCTTCCTTGGAAGTGTTTACGTAGTTTAATTTTCCTTTCTATTGCACTGCATTTTCAGAAACATGAGGGTCAGAATGTCGCAACTTTAGGTATTCCGTTTTTTTTTTCTCCCCAAAGCCCCCCAGTACATAGTTGTGTATTCCAGTTGTAGGTCCTTCTAGTCCTGCCATGTGCGATGCCGCCTCAGCATGGCTTGATGAGTGGCACTAGGTCTGCGTCTAGGATCTGAACTGGTGACATTCTGGGCTGCCAAAGTGGAGTGTGTGAACTTAACCACTCGGCCATGGGGCCGCCCCCCAGTATTCTCAATAATGAGTGTCAAAATTAATTCTTTGGATCAGAACTTCAAAAATTGTATGACACGAGGAGAACTTTCATAGTCTTATGACATGAGGGAAGTAAAGGTAAAACCCTCCTGCAAGTTATTGTCTCTAGCGTTCCCAGTGAAATAAGCTCTGCCCAATTTACTCCACCATGTTCATTGACCTGAGTCTTCCAATGAGGTGAGTCCCAACAGTGTCCAATCTCTGGTCATATTTGAGATGGTAGGGACTAGGAAGCTGTACCCCCCCTTACAGTCCACTGTTTCCAGGAACCACTAGCCATGTTCCAAGGTGTAGCTTTCCATCCCTCTCCAGCATTGGGAGTGTTGAAATCCAGAGTTTCTACTCTGATGTTCTCTAAATATAGTGCAATGCCGGGGATCCCCAGCTCTTGGGCTGAGTGGCCATATGGGAGTCTAGGACACTAGAGAAACCTGAAGCAAGGAAGCTTCTTAAGTGAAGCTCTGTCACTCAATCCTGCCAAGACTCAGGCATTCTCCATAGCCTGACAATTTACCTTCTCTTTAGATGATTTGTTGTCCCTTAAATAAACTCCCCAGCTGTCACAGCACAGAGGCATGTCTGTCATTAACTCTCACTTTAGGGAGTTGGGACTGATACTATTCTCACTAATGTGTTTCAGGTATACCCCTTTTTAGAGCTTGGATTGGGATGGTAGAGTCTGGGAGTGATTGCCCAACATTCTCAACTCGATTTTTTCTTGTTTTTATTTGGCTGTGTGATTATTTGATTAAGAACTTTACTTTTTTTAAAAAAAATTAGTTTATTGAGGTCATATTGGCAAAGGAAACTAAACTTTACTTTTTTATCTAATGAATGAAGTGTTTCCTTTCCTGAGCCCTTTACAAGAGTCCTTCCCTTAGCAACAGATGTGTCATCTCCAAGAATTTTTCTGATTGGCTGAAGCTCAACTGATTTGAATTTTAGTCAGTCAGACGCTATCACACCCTACACTCTCTTTTCTTTTATTCTTGTCTGTGCTGTCCCATTCTTAACCTCTGCTGACCCCCATCAAAGCACCCAAGAAGAAAATGGCCATAAGTGGAGTCCCTATGCTGGGACTTTTCATCACAGCTGTCCTGATGAGCTTTCAGGAATCACGGGCTATTAAAGGTAAGTGCTGAGAGAATCAAAACTAGGGACAACAAGGTCTGAGAGGAGTGGAGAATGAACTGTCGACACTTGCAAGACAATCTTTAGAGTGAAGAAAAGTGCGACAGGTATTATGTGGGTCTAAATCTAAAAGTACAATAAATTGTAGTTCGAAGAGCTTTCTCCTCACCACAGATTGAAGTAAGTCTAATTTACTTTAGAGGAGCAAAACTGAGATGTATGTTGATTACTACCACTGACTTTGAGATAAGTCAGACTTGAGGGGGAAATATTTTCTGACAGGCATTAACAAGCTACCTCTCCAGGCTTTAATTTTTTTTTTTCTGGAAAATTAGGAAAATTAAAAACCTCACATAATTTTGTGAGGATTAAATGAGAAAAAGCATGAGGAGTTCTTGGCACCTATTCTTAGCTGAAGACATGGTAGTTATTTTTTTGGTGTGAGAATCCTGTCAGCATATTTTGAGCACAGACATTTTATTGAAGATCACTAGGAACGAAAGTCACCAAAAAGCAATAATCTACCCAAGGGAGGGGGAAGGACGGGTACGCTGATATGAATTGCACTTAATTTACTGCCTCTTGGGACAGTGATAGTCCCCACTACAGTGGATCTTACCATGATCTTTGGTTACTATTACTAAGTGATATCCCCACGAGAGTAGAAAAATGGGTAAAGTGGAGAGTCTGCTATTCTGCAATCTCCAGAGCAAACTGTTGTGAAAAAATATTCTTCACTCAGAGTGATCCTTACAGAGGGTGGCAGGTAGACTGGAAATAAAGAAAGTAATAACCCAGCTTCAAGACCCATGATGGTGACTGTAGGTTTCTATTGCCTGGAAAGAGCTATATATGGGGATGCATACCGGGAAAGACAGAGGCTATTCCCATGGAATGGAAAGGAGCAGCCAGAATGTGTGTGTGTGTGTGTGTGTGTGCACGTGCATAATTGCAAATGCTAAATAAATCCCTGGCTTTATCAATATACAGTCAGACTTTAAAATTCTTCTCCCATCTACATACACCACAGAGACTGAATGCTCTCCAATTGTAGCTTTCTTTTTTCAAGTTAATTATTCTCTTAGTATAGATTATTCTTAGTATCAACCATAATAGAATATGTCCCATGATGACAGTCTCAATTTAAGGTGTGTTAAGATACAAGGGCACTTTGCTGAGATAAATCCAAATACAATCCTTCTCACAGAGGTATCCGTGGTGGGGGTGTGGATCCAGGAAAGTGGGTGCTCTACCACACTGCAAGGTCACAATCTTAATTTTCTGGAGACCTCAGGTCCTAGTTATATTTTCCATGGGTCTAGTCCTTAAATGCAAAGCAATTTCTGACCCTAAAATACTTGTTATAAGCCTAATGATATACCAAGAAATTACTTACTTTGTCTCATTTAATCTTAAAAACAAATCCAGAATGGAAGCAAAACCACAGAAGAATTATAATAGGATAACTGCTTATAATCTACTAATCTAGGTAAAATAATCTACTCAAAATCACTAGGTAAGTGAGTAGCCAAGTAAGAATTCAATATTTAATTTGATTCTAGAGTTCAGAACCCAGTCTTTTAAACAGTTTCCCTCTTCTTAGAGTTACAATGCTCTGAGAGATGCCCTGGGGTTCTGGCTGAAGTGTATTCAATGCCTGGTCAAAGAGAGTGAGAGACCTTTCTCTTTTAGGAGCTGCTGCTAGATTTCTCAAGAAGGAATCATTTCTCAGCTAGTAACATGGAGCTAAAAGCAGTTTTACAAGACTCTGGTTTTTTTAGCCACCATTCCTTTCAACCCACCCTCTCCAACACTGCCCCTTTGCCTCTCCCCTCCCAGCTCTGTTTAGCACAGGTGTCCTTTACCCAGGCCTCACCTTCCCACTCATCCCTACTCTCCATTACTCCTCCATTCCACTTGGTACTATCAGTTTCCACTGTCCTCTGCCCACATGTTTGTGCCTCACATCCTGGGTTCTTCTTCATCTCCTTCTCCTGCTTCTCATCCTAGTTCCCTTTCCTGCCTTTTCAGAGGATCACGTAATCATCCAGGCTGAGTTCTATCTGAAGCCTGGCGACTCAGGAGAGTTTATGTTTGACTTTGATGGTGATGAGATTTTTCACGTGGATATGGACAAGAAGGAGACGGTCTGGCGGCTTGAAGAATTTGGACGTTTTGCCAGCTTTGAGGCTCAGGGTGCTTTGGCCAATATAGCTGTGGACAAAGCCAACCTGGAGATCATGATGAAGCGCTCCAACAACACTCCAAACACCAATGGTACCTCTCTGCTGCACTCCTAGGCATGGGAATCACAGCATTCAGATAGATACTTCAGCTCCTTGTGTTATGTTATTGTGACTAACTTTCCCTCCTGGGGCCTAACTTTGCCATAAGCAAGTCCCAGATTCTCATGCTACAGGCCCAGGAACTTAATGAGTTTGTTCCCTTCTTGATGTACTCACATCTTGTCTTTGCCATCCACAGTCACTCCCAAAGTCATTGCCCTGAATCCGTGCTGGCAGAGCCAGGAATGAGGTCCTTGGATATCCTATATCTCAATACTGGTTCCAGTTCATGGGGGAGGGTATCAGAGATACATATCTAAGACTGTGGCATAGATTCTCAGGGCACAATTTCAACTGCTTTTTCAGCTTTAGTGGGAGGGAGAGGGGCAAGCCTAAGCAGGGAAGGCTAATTTCTGTCCTGTGTCCCCCAGTACCTCCAGAGGTGACTGTGCTCCCAAACAAGCCTGTGGAACTGGGAGAGCCTAACGTTCTCATCTGTTTCGTCGACAAGTTCTCCCCACCAGTGATCGATGTCACGTGGCTTAAAAATGGAAAACCTGTCACCATGGGAGTGTCAGAGACAGTCTTCCTGCCCAGGGATGACCAACTTTTCCGCAAGTTCCACTATCTCCCCTTCTTGCCCTCAACTGAGGATGTTTATGACTGCAAGGTGGAGCATTGGGGTTTGGATGAGCCTCTTCTCAAGCACTGGGGTATGGACCATTCTTCAGTCTCCTTTCTTTTATGGTTTCCTCCTTTGAAACACATGTCTGGTCCTTTGGAACTCTAAGTCCCCTGTTTCATAACAATGGCTGCAATTCCTATTCCTTGTCTTCTCTCATTAACCAGCTTCCTCTACTCTCTAATCTGTAATTCTCTTACTTCATCATTCTGTCTCCCTCTTATTTAATTGACTAATAACTATTCTTTTATCTAAGTACCCTACATTTGGTCCTAAGTGCTATTCCCTACCACATTTGTTACTTCTGTATTGTTTTCTTCTTACCCAGAGTTTGAAGCGCCAACTCCCCTCTCAGAGACAACAGAGAATGTGGTGTGTGGCCTGGGCCTGGTTGTGGGTCTGGTAGGAATCATTGTTGGGACCATCTTCATCATCAAGGGTGTGCGCAAAGGCAATACTGTTGAACGCCGAGGGCCTCTGTGAGGCATCTGCAGGTGGGTTTGATGTGGTCAAAGGAAGACACATATGGAGTTATCCAAGGAAAAGAAACAGAGCGGGGAAAAGGATATGTGATGCCTTTAAGGGAAAAAGATAGGAAAATTCATGGCTCTTGATTTATCTTTTCTAGGACAGAATCAGGCGTTAACATTTTCTAGTATTCCAAAGCTTCCAGGTCCCTCATCCATCCTTTTCCATACATGTGTACCTAGACCACATCTTCAGTCTTGGAAATTATCTCCAGTACCTAAGATCATTGTTTTACATTAAAATACTGAGTCCAGTGATCTAGGAAAGTCAGCTTCAAGATTTGGGCACTTCCTGGCTTATATTTCCTGAGGCAGACCATCAGTTCAGAAGAATTTCCAGAGCTTGACTCTTTTTGGGTTAGGGTAGATTCATTGCATGAAATGGAAATCTCTTGGAGGTCAATGCCTGTTTTTGCTCCTCCAATATGAAAAGTGGTGCCAGAGTTCTAAGAGCAGGTAAAGCATGGTCTGCTCATTCATGCTCACTTGGAGAGTAGGGTATATCAGTTCATGTTGAAAAGGCGATATTTACCAGAGCTCAGATGAATATTAAGAGACCTTTCCAAAGTCAAAGGTTTAAGGGAGGAAAGGAAGGAATCCGAAGGAAAGAGCTCAAAATATTCATCTTAAATTCTTTAGTAACCATGTGTGTCCTTCTACAGGTAATGGCCTTAGAGAGAAGATCAATGAAGAAACTTCTGCTTTACTAGCCTTATAACCTGACAATACTCCAATTGTTCACTTCAGTGAAGACAACCATTCTTCAGCCTTCCAGCCCTTTAGCTACTTGAAGAGTGTTGATGCCTCCATATGCAGCTCTCTCCTCTGTCTGTTGCCCCTTCTTGTATCTGTTTTCCCTCCATTTCCCACTATCTTTTTATTATCACCATGTAATACCTCTGGAATAGACCCCACAGGATCCTTCCTCTGCTATGGAACCTTTTGAATATTCTATGAGGAAATCTTCTGTATGCTTATTGCTTGGAGTTTCTTCAAACTGTGATTGTGATTGTTTTGAATACAATAAACTACTAGATGGGTCTTAGGAGGAGTTTTTCATGTCTGAGCCAGTTCTTCATGGGGGCTGGGGAATATATGTGATCCCTCCATCCTGAAATATCTCAATGTTGAATGTATCTTATAAGCTCTGTGATTAATCAGAAATATCCATGTTACTTAGGGCTTGGTTTCATTCAGAGGATCTGCAAGCAATCCGGTTGCTGTGGTCCAGTCCTCATCAGGAATATCCTATAGTGGGGTTTATTAGTTGGGAGATTTCAACTTAGCAACGGATTCAGAATCTGGTTTTGGTTCTTAAGCCTCCAAGTCAACAAGATCTCCTGATCTTCAGTAGAGTGAATCTCAAACATTAGGGTTCAGCATCTGATAATGGGTGAGAAAGATGGTAGGGAGAAGACGGGGAGAAGAATAATAGAGCAGGATCCATATACATTACAGGATTTATATATCAACATCACCCATTCCAGACTTAATGAGGAATGGGATTGGACACTAAGGATTGGCATTACCTATTTCATTAACATAGTCTTGGATGCCTGTTTCATTACCAGGAGAAGAGTCTGGCTTATTCTTGGAACCTTCTTGTATTTGGAGATGCATCCTTGAGGGGAAATACTGAGTAAAGCATTGGTGGTGGGTGGGATATGGCATTAAAATGGGAAGAAAGAATGTTTGAAGCACGGTGAGCTATTGCTCATTTATCTGTGAGACTATGACTTGATATTTATTTCTAAAATGATTACCAGAACCTATCCCAAGCCATAAAGCTTAATTATCCATGACAGTGTGGTAGGCTAGCAAATAATGCTGTTGAAATGAATTAGACTTGGGCTTCATCTTGGCTCTATAATTTACTAGATATGTATTCACTGGTATCTTAACTCAGTTTTTCCTGATTCTTATGAAAATACTGATGCTAATTTTTAGCACATTGAGTTATTATGAGAATTAAAAGAAAAATGCAAGCAAAGTAATTAGGTTCCACACTTAGTGATAATAATATTGCAAAAATTATAAATTCCATTATTTTTCTTCAAAATTTCTGTAGCCTGATGAAAAAAATCTGAGAGAAGCAAAACAAAACAAGCACAAACCAAGGCAGCATGACCTTGAAGGGTAGCAGGATGTGCTACCCCAAAAGATGCCTCTTTGGCAAAAGGATTCTTTTGAGCTGATGAGATGGTGTTAGATAATAGAATTGCGTTAGATTACCTCTGTGCTGAGCAAGGAGGAGTCTGTGCCATAGGAAATAGCTCCTACTGTGCCTGGATCAATACTTCTGGTACTGCAGTTACTCTTCATACAAGAAATTAACAAACAAGCCACTTGACTCAAAGAGATTGATGCCTCTTCAGGTACGTTCTTTGATTTATTTAGTGCCAACTGCCAACTGGTTTGGTTCAGGGGGAACCTGGCTAAGAAGCATATTTCTGTCTGTTGGTATTATCCTCCTGATAGTCATCATTGTAGTCTTCCTGGTGGCCTGTGTTCTCCCAAGCGTCGTGTTTACAGCCAAAGCAGTACATTAGATGATCTCACTTGGAGAAACAAAAAGAAGACGAACCATGAGATGAACAGCAAAAACCTTCCATGAACTCGACATCATAGCCTATAAATAAGTTTCACAGCTAAACAAGAGCAACTTAACCGTGATGGTGACTGAGGGTGGTGTCAATAACAAATTTTTGGTTATCCTCTCGAAAATGTCAGACAACTGATGTATTATTAGTAACTACTGTCCATAGCTTACATTTTGGTTCATTCTTTGTGTCATACAGTTCTATGGGTATCCACCATTGCAGTATCTCACAAAATAATTTCACTGACCTAAAAATTCCCTGGGTGTTCCCTCATTCGTCCCTCTGCTCCTCCCCCTGAATCCCTGACAACCTCTGATCTTCTTATTGTCTTTATAGTTTTACCTTTTACAGAATATCATATAATTGGAACCATATAGTAAGTGGCTTTTTACCCTAAGATAATTCTTTCACTTAGCTTTTAAGATTTTTCTCTTTTATGCTTTCTCTATGTCTTTTCATAGCTTAATAGCTTATTTCTTTTTATCACTGAATAATGCTCCATTGTGTGGATGTATCACAGTTTGTTTATCCATTCTTCCTGAAGGACATCTTGCTTGCTTCCAAATTTTGGCAATTATGAATAAAACTACTATAAACATTCTTATGCAAGTTTTTCTGTGGACATAAGTTTTAAACTCATTTGAGTAAATACCTGGGAGCATGATTGCTGGATCATATGGCAAGAGTATGTTTAGCTTTGTAAGAAACCACCAGAGTGTCTTCCAAAGTGACTATACCATTTTGCATTACCACCAGCAACAAATGAGAAGCCCTATTGAAGTGCATCATTGTGCATTTGGTGTTGTGAGGGTTCCGCGTTATAGCTAGAAAGCCAATTTTTAAAAACTTTTTATTTTGAAGTAATTATAGATTCACAAGAAGTTGCAAAGATGGTACAGAGAGATCCTGTGTACCCCTTCACCTAGTTTCCCCAAATGTTTATATCTTAAGAAACTGTAGTAAAATATCAAAACCAGGAAACTGACGTTGGTACGTGTGTGTATAGTTCTATACCAATGTTTGATCATATTTGTAGATTTGTGTAATCACCACCACAATCATGCGCAGAACCATTCCATTACTACAGAGATCTCTTTCATGCTCCCCTTTATGGTTACAACCATTTCCCTTCAGACACCATCACCCTACACCTGACAACCACTAATCTGTTCTCCATCTTTACAGTTTTGTCATTTCAGGAATGTTAGGTAATATGGAATCATATGGTATGTGACTTTTTGAAATTGGCATTTTTTACTCAGAATAATGCCCTTGAGATCCATCCAAGTTGTTGGGTATATCAATAGTTTGTTCTTTTCTTTATTGCTGAGTAAGATTCCATGGTATGGAGGTACCACAGTTTGTTCAACTATTCACCTATTGATGGGCATTTTGGTTTTCTAGTTTGGGACTATTACAAATAAAGCTTCCATGAACTTTTGTGTAAGATTATTGTGTGAACATGAGTTTCCATTTCTCTGGCAATAAGGCCCGGAAATATGATTACTGGATCATGTGGTAAGTGTATGTTTATTTTTTAAAGAAACTGCCAAACTATTTTCCAGAGATTCAGTACCATTTCACAGAGTATGAGAGATCCAGTTTGTCTGCATTCTCACTAGCATTTTGCATTGTCAGTATTTTATGTTTTAGCTATTTTACTAGATATTAAACTTAATAGGTAGTATCATGCTCTTGATTTGCATTTCCTTAGCGGCTAGTGATTTTGAATATCACTCAGTGTGCTTATGTTTTTGGTGAGGAAGATTCTCCCTGAGTTAACATCTGTGCCCATCTTCCTCTAGTTTGTATATGGGATGCTGCCACAGCATGGCTGATGAGGAGTATGCAAGTTCTGCTCCCAGGATCTGAACTCGCAAATCTGGGGCTGCTGAAGTGGAGCACATGAACTTAACCACTATGCCACTGGGCCGGCCCCCAATTCAGTGTGCTTATTTTTTAATGTGAAGTTTTTTTGTTTGTTCGTTTGGTTTTTTTCCCCAGCAATTTTATTGAGATCATAATGGTTTATAACATTGTGTGATTTGGGGGGTACATTATTAATTATCAATTTCTGAATACACTTCATAGTGCTCATCCCAAGTAGTCTAACTTTTGTCCATCACCATACATATGTGCCCCTTTATGCCTTTTGTGCACTCCCAAACCTCCTTCCCCTCTAGTAACCACTAATCTGTCCTCTTTATCCATGTAGTTGTTATCTTCCACATATGAGTGAAATCATGCAGTATTTGTCTTTCTCTGTTTTGCTTATTTTGCTTAACATCATACCCACAAGTTCCATCCTTCTTGTTGCAAATAGGACAATTTTGTCTTTTTGTATGGCTGAGTAGTATTCCACTGTATATATATACCACATCTTTTTATCCATTCATCTGTAGAAGGGCACTTGGATTGCTTCCACGTCTTGGCTATTGTGAATAATGGTGCAATGAGCATAGAGGTGCATAAATCTCTTCGGATCATTGATTTGAAGTTCTTTGGATAAATACCCAGTAGTGGGAGGTTTTGATAGTCCTTTACATATTTTAGATATATACCTTTATGGTACTTGGAGTGTGCAAATATTTTCTGTGTTGCTTATCTTTTCATCCTCTTGAAAGGATATTTTGCAGAACAAAAATTTTTAATTTCAATAAAAACCAATTTACTGATGTTTTTCTCTTATGGATCACGCTTTTGGTGTCATGTCTAAGAACTCTTCAACAGGCCCTAAATTCCAAAGTTTTCCTCCTGAGTTTTCTTCTAAAAGTTTTATATTTTACATTTAAATTTGTCATCTATTTCGAGTTAATTTTTGCATAAAATGTGAGAGTTGGTCTAGTTTCTTTTTTTCTCTTTCTTTTCTTCTTTTTTTTCTTTTGCCTATGAATATTCACTTGCTCCAGCACGATAGCTTGAAAAAACAAAACTATCTTCCATTCAGTTGCTTTGCACATTTGTCAAAAGTGAGTTGGTGTGGTTCTATTTCTGGATCATGTATACTGTTCCATCAATCCATGTATCCATCCCTCCACAATACCCATCATTTTCATCAGTCTTGACTACTGTAGCGACATAAAAGTCCTAAATTTTGTTAGAGTAATTCTTCAATTTTATTTTTCTCTATCAAATTTGTTTTATCTATTCTAAGTCCTTTACTTGTTCACATAAATTTTAGAAAACTTTGTCTACAACTATTAAAAATTTGCTGGAATTTGGATTGAAATCACATTAATACCAGGATATCAATTTGGGGAATAATTGACATTTTTACTCTGCTCAGTTTTTAGGTGAGGAATATGGTAAATGTCTCCGTTTATTTAGATCTTTGATTTCTTTCATCAGTATGCCAGCATTCAAGTCCTGTACATGTTCTGTTAGAGTTTTATTTAAGTGTTTCTATTTTTGAGTGATTGTAAATGGTATTTATTTTTAATTTTTGTTTTATGTCTTTATTGCCATATATATAAATACAAATCAATTATTTTGGTTGATCTTGAATTCTGCAATCTTGATGAACTCATTAATTCCAGAAGGCTTTTTGGGGGCAGTATCCTTGGTATTTTTCATGTAGACCATCACACCAACTGAGGATAGGAATGGTTTTATTTCTTCCTTTCTGATCTGCATGTGTTCTGACCACATCCTCTTCATGCTGTCAATGAAGGAGGGGTCCCCCACCCTAAATAGTAATAGATGGCTGAACACACAACATGTGAAATGGACAGATGAGACTGACAGCAGTTTATCACATAAACTCACAGCCTGAGGGAGGAAGACACTGCATTCCATGTAGGACCACATGAGGGTTGCACTCAGGAACACAGTGAACCAGAAGGGGCAGTGAGACTGTGAGAGGCAGGTAGCAATAAGGGGGTGGGGTCTTGCTGGTTCCCACGACAGGATGTTATTGGTTTGTTTGAATAGTTCCATGGGCTGGCAGGGAACTGAGCCCTTAGGTTGAGGATCAAGTGGAGTGCAGTTGCTCAGGCTGACAGGGGAAGTTGCTGGGTGGGGGAACATACCTGGTGAAAGCAGGAGAACTCACAGCCAGGTCTTTGGGGCCCTTTGAGGTTTGTGGATGTTATGGCAGCACTTGAAATTTCAGATCTCACAATATAGCGTGCCATTTATTTTTTCTTGTTTTATTGTGTTGGCTAGGACTTCTGTTACTTTGTTAAGTAAGAGTGGTGAGAGCAGAAGAGGGAAAAACATTCAGTCTTTTACAAAGTGTGATGTTAGCTGTAGAAATTTTGTAGAAGTTATTTACTAAAGTGAGGAAGTCTTCCTCTATTCCCGCTTTTTGGATGGCTTTTATTAAGAAAGAGTGTTGAGAGGCTGGCCCTGCGGCCAAGTGGTTAAGTTCACGTGCTGCACTGCGGGGGCCCAGGGTTTCACCACTTCAGATCCTGGGCATGGACATGGCACCACTCATCAGGCCATGCTGAGGCAACATCCCACATGCCACAACTAGAAGGACCCACATCTAAAAATATACAACTATATACTGGGAGAATTTGGGGAGAAAAAGGAAAAATAAAATCTTTAAATAAAAAAGAAAGAAAGTGTTGAATTTTGTCAAATGCTTTTCTTTGTTAATTGATGTGATCATGTGATTTTTCTTCTTTAGTTCATTAATATTCTGGATTACATTGGTTGATTTTCAGCTATTAAACCAAAATGCATTGCTGGAATACATCCCACTTAGTCATAGTGTATAATTCTTTTGGAATTTTCCCTAGTTTTATTTGCCAATATTTTGTCAAGGAGTTTTGCATCTATAGTCATGAAGACATATTGCTTTCTATTACTTCTTTTATTGTCTTTGTCTGCTTTTGGTATCAGGAAAGGCAGACCTCATAAGCTAAGTTGGGATGTGTCCCCTAGGTTTGGTAGATTTCTCCAGTGAAACCATCTGGGTCTCAAGATTTGTCTTTCAACAGTCTTTAAATTACGAATTAAATTTCTTTAGTAGTTATACAACTATTGAATTTACCTATTTCATATTGAGCTGGTTATGGTAGTTTTTGCTTTTCAAGGAATTGGTTCATTTCATCTAGGTTTTCAAATTTATTCCCTTAGTGTTTTTCGTATTCCCTTAATGTCCTATTAATATTTGAAGTGTCTATAGTGATATCCCCTAGATGATTTCTAGTTTAATCCAATAGTATCCAGAGAACACTACCTCTATGACTTTCGTTCTTCAGCATTTGTTAAGTTTCCTTTCATGGACCAGGATATGATCTTTCTTGATAGATGTTCCATGGCCACTTGAAAAGAATGTGTATTCTGCTACTGTTTAGTGGAGTGGTCTATTAGTGATTAGATCCTGTTGATTGATGATGGTGCTGTTGAGTTCTATATGCTTGCTGAATTTCTGTCTAGTTATTTTATTAATTGTTCAGAGAGGGGTGCTGAAGTCCTCAAATATAACTGTTTATTTGTATATTTCTTATTTCAGTTCTATCAGTTTTGCTTCACCTATTTTGCAACTCTCTTGTTTGACGCATACACATTTACAATTGCTATGTCTTTTTGGTGGATTAACGCCTTGATCATTATATAATGTCTCTGGCAATATTCTTTTCTCTGATTTCTACTTTGACTGATATTATACCCATGCCTACTTTCTTTGATAATTGTTTACATGGTTTATCTTTTTCAATTCTTCTATTTTATCCTTCCTATGCTGTTATATTTGAAGTAAGTTTGCTGTAGACGGCATATAGTTGGGTCATTTTTTTTCCACTCTGCTATTTGTCTTTTAATTGGTGTTTTTCGACTATTTCCATGTAATGCAATTATTAATATATGAGGGCTTATGTCTGCCATATTACCTTTTGTTTTCTATTTGTTTCTTTTGTTGTTTTGTTTCTCTGTTTTCTTTTTCTGCCTTCTTGTGTGTTGCTTAAACACTCTTTAGGGTTCCATTTTGTTTATTTATCATGTTTTTAAGTGTATCTCATCATATAGTTTTTAGTGATGTATCTCCATATAACATTGCAAATGCATAATTTATCATAATCTACTGGTGTTGACAATTTACCAACTTGAATCAAGTGTAGAAGCTTTACCTCCTTTTAAGTCTCTCCCATATTTATAACATATTTGGCTTAAGTGTTTTCTCTATGTACATTGAAAACCACATCAGTATTGTAATTTTTTATTCAACTGCCAAAAAAATTACAAAACTGAAGAGGAGGAATGTCTCTTGTATTTACCCATATCTGTATTAATTCTGTTGTTTATTCTTCCTTCCCAATGTTCCAAGATTTCTTCCATTGTCATTTCCTTTCCAGTTCAAGAACTTCCTTTAGCCCTTCTTTTAGGGTAGATCTACTAGCAACAAATTCTCTTGATTTTCCTTCCTCTAAGAATGTCTTGATTGCCCTTTCCTTCCTAAGTGATAGCTTTACTGGATATAGATTCTGGGTTAACATTTCTTCTCTTTCAGCTATTGAAAAATCTTGTGGCACTTCTTTCTGTCCTCCATAATTTCCAATGAGAACTTTACTGTCATTTCACTTGATTTTTTCTTATACATGAGGTATTATTACTCTGTTGCTGCATCTAAGATTATTTTTTTGTCTTTAGTTTCCAGAAGTTTGATTATGATGTGTTGATATGAGTTTCTTTGAATTTATCTTGTTTTGAGTTTGTAAAGCTTCTTAAATCTTTAGGTTAAGGTCTTTTTCCAGATTTGGGAAATATTCAACCTACATTCCTTCAAAAACTTCGGTATCACCCATTTCTCATCTCCTCCTGGGACTTGAATGGCACCACATTTTTATCTTTGGTTATATTGCTACAGATTCTACAGCATAAAATAATAATAAACATAATGAACAAATCTACAAAAATTAATTTTCATCTAATGAATAAATTACTCAAAATGTACAATGTACCAAAGCTCACAAATGACATATGAAAGATGAAGCATTCCATATCTACTAAAGAAAGTTAGTCCATTATATAAAACTTTTCCACAACAAAACCCCAAGTTTAACTTTCTTCGATAAATTCTTTAAAATATTTAAAGAAGAAACCACACTAATTTTATGCAAAGTTCCAAAAAAGTAGAAAAAATAAACACTTGCAAACACTTTTTATGCGACCAGTATAGCCCTTATTTCAAGGACACTACAACAAAAAGAAATATACAGACTCATTATTCTTATAAGCATAGATGCCAAATTCTTAAGAAAACACCAGCCAATTGAATCTGGTGATTTATAAAGCATAATACATCACGATCAAGTGGAGTTTATTTCAGGAATGAAAGATTGTTTGGACATTTGAGAATCAGTTAATGCAGTTTACCATCCTCATTGAAAGGAGAAAAAGCCTATGAACATTTTAATAAAAATCATAAAATATCATTTGACAGAATTCAACACATGTTCTTAACTTTTTAAATTCTAGTATTAAAACACTAGTATCAAAAAGGAATTTCTCAATCCAAGAAAGGATAGCTACCCTACTTCACATGTCAGACTCAATGGCAAAATGTTTAAAACTTTCCCCTTGATTACTGGAGTAATGGAAGGGTTAGACAATGAAAAATGGCAAGAAAAATAAATAAAAAGTATAAGGATGGCAAAGGAGATAAACTTGTCATACTCACTCTTGACATGATTGTGTACTCAGAAAACAAAAATAATAGACAAGTTAATAGATTTAATAAGTAAATTTAACAATATTGCTGGATACAAGGTCAAAATATATTAGCACCAATTATATTCGGCTCTACCAGAAACAAATCAAAATCAAGAAAATACCATTCACAATAGCATCCCAAAACATCAAATATCTAGGAGTAAATCTAACAAAAGATGAACAGGACTTCTATACTGAAAACTATATCCTTGGAAGAAATTAATGGACCTACATAAATGACAAGCCTACAGTTTGGAGAGTAATTGTAAAAGTAAATATTTTAAAGATGTCAGTTCTCTGCAAATTAATCTATATTCAGTAAAAATCTCATTGAAAGACATTGAAAGGATTTTTGTTTCTTTGCTTGCTTGTTTGCTTGTTTTGTTTTTTCTGTTTTCTTTCTTTTGCTTTTTTGTTTTTGGTGTAGGGGCATTGTTAAGCTGAATTTAAAATTCATATGTAAATACTGAAGTATTAAATTAACCAAGGAAGTTCTGAAAAATGAGAACAAAACAGGGAGAAATTCAGTACAAGACAACAAAACATTGATGTTAATTAGCATTGTGTGGTATTGGTTATATTAATTAACATATTGTGGTATATTAATTAATGTACTGTGATGTTGGCTCCAGTATAGACAAACTAGACAACAGAACAAAATGGAAATTCTAGAAACAGATCTTTCTCCAAATACAATGCTCTGTTCTATGGTGGCGCTGCCAAGCAATGAGGTAAAGATGGTCCTTTCAATACATGTTGCTAAGTTATTTGAATATTCATCTGAGACAGTTTACTGTGATACCTACTCAAATCATCAATAAAAATCAATTCCAGGTGGATTGAAAATATATAGCAGAATTCAACATTGAGGTAACCTGGGCATTGAATTTCCTTTGATGGTTGGTTATATTAATAGTCACAGTTTATGTATCAGATGTAGCACTATAGACATGGTCTATTTTTTGAGTCAGTTTTGGTAAATTATGTAAAGCAGATTAAAGAAGGATACAAATTATTTGTCATTAATCTCATGGAGAGGTAGATTGTATTTCCCCTCCCCTTAAATCTGAACTGTCCCTGTACTCACTTTGACTATTAGAATGTGATGGAAATGACGCCACACAACCTCTGAGGCTAGGTCTACAGAAGTCTTGCAGCTTTTCCTTTCCTCTTTGGAGTCCTGAGTCATCAGGTAAGAAGTCTGTCTTCATTCCTGGTGGGTCCATATAGGCCGTGTTAGAGGCACCGGAATTGCACGCAGAGGGAGAGGGGGTCTCAGTGTCCCAGCTGAGCCTCCAGAGTACCCCAGCCTCAGCTACCATCTGACTGCAACCACATGAGAGACCCTCAGCGAGAAATGCCCACTAAACTCAATCCACTCCCAGAACTGTGAAAAAATCATTAAATGGTTGTAGTTTTACGTCACAAATTTTGGGGAGTATTTGTTACACAGCAATAGAAAGTAAAATCTTATGTTTTTCAAGGAATTTCATCTAAAATGTCAAATCTACTGGCACAAAATTGTTTATAATACCCTCTTAGTATCTTTTTAATGCCTGCAGGATCCATAGGAATGGCATTTTTTTTATTCTAGATGTTAATAATTTGTAATTTGAATTTTTTCCTTTTTTCTTTCTTATCAGTCTTGAGGATGGTTTATCAGAAAAAGGCTACACTGGCTCTGTTGATCGTCTTTATTATACATCTATTTTCAGATGTATTAATTTTCTCTCTTACTTTTATTATTTCCCTCCTTCTACATTTTTTAAAATTTATTTTTCCTAGATTCTTTCTTTGTTTTTTTTAAGATTGGCACCTGAGCTAACATCTGTTGCCAATCTTTATTTTTTTCCTTGTCTTCTCCCCAAAGCCCCCTCAGTACATAGTTGTATATTCTAGTTGTAGGTCCTTCTAGTTGCGCTATGTGGGATGCCACCCCCGCACAGCCTGATGAGCGATGCCAGGTCCATGCCCAGGATCTGAACCGGCAAAACCCTGGGTCACCAAAGCAGAGCACACGAATCCAACGACTTGGCCACAGGGCTGGCCCCATTTCCTAGATTCTTAGGTTAAAAATTTAGATCTCTTATTTTTATATATTTCTCCTTTTATAATATAAGTATTTAAACCTATAAATTTCCTTCTGGGGAGCATTTTGGTTGCATATCACAAATTTTGAAAATCTGTTTTAATATTCCTTTAAAATATTTTCTAATTCCTCATCTGATTTATTCTTTGGTAAGCCATGGATTATCTAGAAGTGCATTATTTTACTTCCAAAAAATTGGCTATTTTCTCAGTCTTATTAATACGTAATTTAACAAGATTATAGTCAGAGAATATATTCTGTGTGACTTTAACCCTGTGAAATTTATTGAGACTTGTTTTACGGCCATAGAGTATGTTCTATTTTGTGGACATTGTGAAATTTAAGGAAATATGAATCCTGCAGTTATTGCATGTAGTCAATATTCATGTCAATTATAAATGTCAGTTAGGTCAAGATGGTACATATCTTTGATTTCTTTATGATGTTTGTTTGCATTATAAAGATATTTTCCTGCTTTCTATCTACCTCCCCAAGTTCCCACACCATCATCATGAACTCTGCAACAGTTCTGGGAGGAGAATCAGCTGGCCCGGAAAAGTAGCCATATATTATATTTGGGAACTCTACAGATTCCAATCTATCACACAAGCCCACAGGGTTATTTAAAACTTTGCCAGTTTCTTCTTACCACATCACAAACTCCCTTTCTGTGCCAGGGCCATTCTTCCACTCATGTTGATGTTCAGTAGACGACCCAAGGGAGGAGAGTGGGAGCTTGTCCCTCCTTACCCAAGCAGAAGTTGCCCATATCCAGAATTTGGCATTGTTACGTTTCTTTTCGTCTATAGCTCTTTGAAACAGAGACTTCAAAATGAGATTTTTTTCCATTTCATCCATTTAGTTTAGTTATTATTTTTCCTGTTCTTATGGTGGAAGTGATTGCCCTTTGTAACTTTTATCATCCTAACTGGCACTGTAACTTAAGATTTTTTTTCCCTAGCCATATTGATAATGCGAGTTCATTCATTTAAAACTCTGTACATTATTCCTTTGTATGTCCATACCATAATTAATCTGTTCTCTATCTGAAAATTTAGAATGTTCCTTTTCTCTTCTATTTTTTACATGTCATCTTGGGCATGTATGTGGGAATTTTTCTAGAGTGTCAATGCCTAGGATGGAAGTACTAGATTATCCAAACTGCCCAAAGAGGTTTACCAGTTCATGCTCACATCACCATGCACAATACTCAAATATTGTCCTGCAGCATGCTGTCATTTCACATATTTTGTTGTCTTTTGATGTACAGAATTTTTATAATCAGACAAATTTATCAGTTTTTCTTTCTGAATTTGAAAACATTTTTATTATTCCAAACCCTCATGCAGCAAACATTCAATTTTAGGTCTTCTGGGGCTCATGTAAGATTATTTCTTTAAGAAAGATATCTAGAAGTTGATTTTTGTTATTGTTGATCCTGCAGCATTTGTATTTTTATCTATAATACTGCCAAGCTGTCAGCTGTTCATGATCCTAATAACAGTATATGAGAGATTCCATTCCCATAGAATCTTCTAAATCCATGATTTAAAAAATGAGCTATTATATTGGCCAATTTTGGGGAAGAAATATTTCTTCACATTGTTATTTGAATTTGTATGTTTCATATTATTTTTTTAAGTTGTATTTGAGGTATGCTCTTTTTTTTTTCTTTTTTTTGGTGAGGAAGATTGGCCCTGAGCTAACATCTATTGCCAATATTCTCCTTTTTTTTTTCCTCCCCAAAGCCCCAGTACATAGTTGTATATTGTATTGTAAGTGCTTCTAGTTCTCCTATGTGGGATGCCACCACAGCAGGGCTTGATGAGAGGTGTATAAGTCCACACCCAGGATCTGAACTGGTGACCCCAGGCCACTGAAGCAGAGTGTGCAAACCTAACCACTACACCACTGGGCTGGTCCCTGTTTCATATTATTGATGAGTTTGAATAAATATTTCATGTTTATTGACCATTGGCACATTCTCTTCTATAAATAGTCAGTCTATATCCTTTGCCCAATTTTCCCTTGCATTTTTGTTCATTTATTTACTAGCTTCTTGGAAATTTTACATAATAAGAAGACCCAATGTCTGCCTTGTGTGTTTCAAATTTTTTCCTGAGAGCTACATACTTTTTTAAATTTTGTTATTTTCTCCATGCAAAGAAATTTTTAATTTTTATCAAATATATTTTTTCCTTTATATTTTCTGGATTTTGTCTTGCTTGGAGAGATTTTTTTCTTTCTTTCTTTCTTTTTTTTTTTTGAGGAAGATTAGCCCTGAGCTAACTACCACCAGTCCTCCTCTTTTTTGCTGAGGAAGCCTGGCCCTGAGCTAACATCTGTGCCCATCTTCCTCTACTTTATATGTGGGACGCCTACCACAGCATGGCGTGCCAAGCCATGCCATGTCCGCACCCAGGATCCAAACCAGCGAACCCCGGGCTACCAAGAAGCGGAATGTGCGAACTTAACCACTGCGCCACCGGGCCAGCCCGAGAGATTTCTTTTTTAAAAGGTTGTTTTTAACAAGTTTATTGAGATATAATTTACATGCCACAAAATTCACTCTTCATACACGGAAAATTCAATGATTTTAGTAAATTTATAGATGTGTCTAACTATCACCACAATCCAGTTTTAGAACATTTCCATCACCTCACAAAGTTCCCTGTTCACAGTTAATCCTCTCTGCCATTCCGAGCCCTAGGCACCCATTGATCTGCTCTTTCTTTCTACAAATTTGTCTTTTCTAGATATTTCATGTAAACAGAATCATAGAACTTGCAGTCTTTTGTGCCTAGCTCTTTTCACTTACTATAACATTTTTGAAGTTTATGCATTTTGTAGCATATATCATTATTTTCTTTCTATATTTTAGTTGTTCTTTTTTGTTGCTGAATAGTATGCCATTGTATGGATATGGTATATTTTGTTTATCTATTCACTAATTGTTGAACATTTGGATTGTTTCCAGTTTGGGGCTGTTATAACTAATGCTGTTAAGAACATTTGCACACATATATTTGTGAGGACATATCTTTTCATTTCTCTCGGGTAGATTCCAAAGAGAGGAACGGCTGGATCATATGGAAAATATATGTTTAACTTTTTAGGAAATTGCCCAAGAGTTTGCCAAAGTAGTTGTAACATTATATTCTCCCATCGGCAATGCATCAAGTATTAGAAAGGCTTCTTGTCTTCAGATATAATTATGACAGTGATGATGATAGTAATAGAAATAATAACAATCCCTGCTTTAGTTATTTTAAACTTTCTTTTTATGTTTCAATTTTTATTCATCAAGAAATCATTTTGTTGAAAGGAATGAGTTTGAGATACACCTTACCAATGACTTGAAATTCTCTATATTAAACTACCCAACTGTTCAGGGATCTAATTCTGGACTGTTCTACTGGGGCATTTAACCCATAATGAATCAATGCTAAAGAAAGTGCTTATTAAATAGATGTATAATAGGTTTTGGCACCTTATAAAGGTAGTCACTCCTTATTATATGTCTTTTAAAAAAATTCCCTGGAAAATATATTTTTCCTCATAAAATTAAGAATCCTTATATTAACTTATAAAAACAAAGAAATAATCTTCTTGCTTGCTTGCTTTTTTCTTTTGGCAATTGGGCTTATAGTTGACATTTAATACTCAGTGCTAAAATAAAACAAAACTTTGAATTGATGCTGCCCATCAAGAATCTACCATCTTTCATGAAATAATTGAAAATATAAACAATCTAATAGTACCATATACTATAGCTTCCCTCCCCTAAAATCACTGCCCCCACCCCATCTACCATTTCTTTCTTTCTAAAAAAGATGATTTTGCTCCTTTTCTTCCCATGTGCATCAGAGGAGGCAGGCCACGTCACAAAGGGTGAATCACGGTTTGTCTGAGTTTACCGTTGTAATCCCATGGTCCCCCTAATGTGTGGGGAAGTGGGTTTACTGTGAACACTCTGGGAAAAGTTTAGTTGCTCCTTATAAAAGCACATGAGAAGAAACAGTTCTCTTTCACTGCCTTTAAGATCAACGATGATGCCACTGGCCTGATGAATTGACCAACTCTGGATATTCCCTACCTTGTGTCTATCTGCTACGTAAGATAATAAGTTAAAGAAAAATAAAGGCAATTAGACTGGGTTTTCTGCTACTAGTTGCAGAAAGCATCTTCATTGAAATATTCACGCCATACCCTTTAATTCTACCTTATAATTTCACATCACAGGTCTCAAAAAAAATGAGATAACTCATTTCTTCACCTCAGAGAACAAAGTGAGAGTAAAGTTGCAACCCTGGGATCAAACAGAACTTATCCTAACTGTATGTGTACTGCAGACGTTACTATCAGCTTACTAAATTCCTATACAATGATAACTTGTTTCACACAAATAATACATAGCATAATTAAAATATGCAAAAATAAGCTTTGCATTTGCTTGAAAATACAGTAATAGTTGTCTCTGACAGTGGACAAATTGTGTTCAAATGACTATTACTTTGAAATAAACTTTTCAATCAATGATTTATTCTTTAGATTTGATTTACATTTGAAACTCACTCTTCAGATGGAACAATAGCAGAACTCATTGTCTTCTTAACTGTTTTAATTACCTTTGTATGAAACCTATCTAATGCCTCTGTATTACTGAAGTGTATGGAATTTAGAGCTATATATTGACTTACAATTATAGTTCCAGTGTTTTATGCAAGGGTGAAAAAAGTTTGATTTACTTTTCTAGTTTCTTTCCTATCATATATGCTTTGTCAAGCTTGTTTCAATAGTTACAGTTTGTTTTTAGTTTTTATGTATTGCCTTTTTAAACTTTTGATTTAAATTTTTGATTATATAAAATATTTGAAATGTTCCTCAAGTTAAAACTATTATATAAGATATATTCAGAAAGGTCAGGTTTCGTCTTTGTCCCTTCAACCTATTCCCTCATTTTGCCCTATAGGCGACCATTAGATAGATAGATACCAAGAATGCGTATAGCTATGTATTCCTATTCCCCTCCTCTATTTTAGTAAATAAAATGCTATGTACTGTACAAGCTCTCCTGTACCTTACTCAAAATTCATTTTGGAGATTATTCCTCAGAGTATTCTCATTTTTTCTGCCAGCTGCAGAGTTCTTCATTGTTTGGATGAACATTAGTGTATTCATAGATTCTCCTTTGTTCCCAGCATTGTCTCTGATTTCTGCTAAGGTCAGATCTAGACAGGATACTCTTGTGACAGACAGTAAGTATGTCACATAATCCGGAGGCCCTCAGAAATGCCTTTTGTCGTTAAAGTTGTGGTTTCGTCTTGATGGCCTTCTGAGACCTATTTATGGGGAAGGATACAAGCCAAGCCAAAGAGTCAGCATGGCACTGTTTTTTATCTGAGAGATAGAAAATGATTGAAGTGTTGAAGCCCACCATTAATCTAAGAAAATGGGAGTTTAACTATCCTGGTTTAGATACTTTCTTTTAAAGGTGAGGTTTTTTTGTTGTTTGTTATTTTCTTTTTTAGATTTGTATTTTTCCTTTTTCTCCACAAACTCCCCCAGTACATAGTTGTATATTTTTAGTTGTAAGTCCTTCCAGTTGTGCTCCATGGGGTGCCGCCTCAGCATGGGTTCATGAGTGGTGCCATGTCTGGCAAATCCCTGGGCTGCCGAAGTGGAGCACGGGAACCCAACCACTCGGCCACGGGGCCGGCCCCTAGATACTTTCTTTTAAAACATCAGAGAAAAAGAGACAAAAGCACATGATTATGAAAATTTTGAGGACACCATATCCTAAAAGTTACCTGTGTTTCTTATATCTATAGTCCCCTCGCTGTATCCAATGATGGGAAGTGACTTGTGTGTTTATCTTTAAGAACACAAAAATGTAGGAGACCATCATGATATGGGAATATTAAGGGCTTTCTCCTAGCTCAGCTAAATATTCCTAATTAAAGAATACAGAAAACTCAAGATAAAATAAGGAATGTAGCAAAGAAACCTTCCTGATCCACATGTGACCAAAATTCAGGAATATACATAAAAAACATTATTGTATTGTGATGCAATCTTCTCTTTCTCTTTTCTTTCTACTTCTTGTCCTTGAATTTGCACGAAGTAGATGATTTTCACTCCATGTTTATTTGAGAAAAACTTTATAAAGAAATGTGGGCAGAGGTGAGTTCAGGTGCATAGCAGGCCATAAGGGTTGAATACAATGGGGAGGGGAAAAGAATGCAGACAAGGTACTGCAATCAATACTGGGGACTTCCAGGCCAAGGGCAGGGGCTGAGGAAGCCATAGGGATGACATTGTTTGCCGGGTCACTGAACCAGGCAGGACCAAACCAAATCCTGAGAAAGTACGCTCTTGGTCAAAGAATAAGGGCCAAGCAGGAAACCTTTTCATGCTGAGAAGCTGGGACAGAAAGTTCTTCTTTGAGTGTCATCATGTACACTTCAGTTCAGGAGTCCTGCAGAAGACAGAGGAGAGTGCTCTTTCCAGACCTAACCCTACAAGCAGCTTCCTTTCCCCCTCTCTCAGGGCCTCATGATAAAGCACTGCAGTCAGAAGGGGAAAAGATGTTAATGTCACCCTGAGCCAATGCTACTTCAGGGAGCAGGCCACTTTATTAAGTGGAGAGAAGCTTTATAGAAAACTGCATGATCAGAATTCAAAGCCTTTCCCATTATTTCTTCTCTCATCTTGTCATCTCTACCGTCTGTTCTAGGAGACCAAATCGATGTCTAAAAGAGGATTAAAGAGCATTACCTGTTGGCTGAAGTCCTGTGTGTCCTGGGAAAGAGAGGGGAAGATATATAGTTAAAAGATATAGAAGCCAATGTGTCCCCAAATGCGATGTTCCCAGCCTCCCCTCCTGAGATTTCTCTAATTGGACAACCCACAGAGAGAGAGGAGAGCAGAAACTGAGAGTGTGTGACCCATGAAGCTTCTGTCACACAAATCCAGTGTAACACCATCAGCCTTAGTGGCTCTTCCTGCGTTTGTCTCAGGATCTCAAAGCAAGATCTCCATGCACGTTAACCCTTCTCTCATCTCTATGGGCCATAACTTCTTATGTTTCAACACAGTAACCATCGACTGTTGATTTCTGGATTTCTAGGAAATTTGAAGTTGAGCAGGTAAAGAAAGGCTTTGTACAGAGCCACTGGTACACAGAGCAAAGCCATGTTTCTTCCCCCAAAAGTCTGTGTGGGTCTCAGCTGCCAGCAGGGTCCTCACCTTTCTGGTTCCTGCAGTGGATGAACAGCCCTGCCCCAAGGAAGAGCAGCCCCAGCACGAAGCCCCCGACTCCACTCAGCATCTTGCTCTGCGCAGACTCGGACTGGGCCCCTGAGACAGGAAGCTAGTTTTAGCGATTTTATCCCAAATACAACTTTACAACTTCCCTAATTGAGACTCTGGGATTAAGATATTTGACGGGCGGGCCGGGTGGTACAGCGGTTAAGTGCGCACATTCTGCTTTGGCGGCCCGGTTCGCCAGTTCGGATCGCGGGTGTGGACATGGCACCGCTTGGCAAGCCATGCTGTGGGAGACGTCCCACATATAAAGTAGAGGAAGACGGTTACAGATGTTAGCTCAGGGCCAGTCCTCCTCAGCAAAAAGAGGAGGATTGGCAGTAGATGTTAGGGTTGAGGGTTAGATGTTTGAGGAAAGTCAGGGTTGATTTTCCTCAAAAAAAAAGGATGTTTGAGAACGGGGGAAGAAGGCTGCCCTGGAAGAACTACAATAGTTGGCCATTTCTGGAAAAGAGATTTAAAAATCACATTGAGTAGCTACAAGGTTGAGGCATTGAACTCATTTAAATATCACAGCCCTGACATAAGGCCACTAGTTCAACATCTGATGGAAGAGGTGCCTGGGACTCCGTGAGGTTGAGTAGCTTGTCTAGGGGGACACAGTTAATAAAAGGCCGAGCTGATACTGGACTCCACTCATGTCAGGAAGGTCCCTACATTATAGAGGATGCACCTCTGCTCAGATCACAAAGAATAAATCAGAGCAACAGTGCCAGGAATACAAGCCCAGCCCCAGGCAGGGGACAGCTGCCCAGAGCCAAGGGGGAACCATGACCTGTGATATCATGGGAAGGCTCAAAACAGGGACAACCTCTCCTATGTCTGCCAGGCATAACTTCCTCCCCAGGGGTATTTATAGAAACAATCACAGGTCTACGCCCTGTGACCTGTGCTGAAGGCAAAGGGAACAAGGAGCAAATGAAAATATGGTGTAGGGAGAGGAGAAACATGACATTCAGGGATAAGAAAAGTGCCTCCTTGGTGGGCGAGGAATTTATGGGGTCAGAGAGCTTCTCACTCCATTCCACTGTGACAGGGCTCGTCAGACTTGGGTGCTCCACTTGGCAGGTGTAGACCTCTCCACTCTGAGGAACTGTCTCAAGCATCACCATGGTCTGGAAGGTCCAGTCTCCATTACGGATCAGGCCTGTGGAGACGACCCCAGCCTCCTCTTCCTGCCCATTCCGGAACCATCTGACTTCGATGTGGCCTGGATAGAAGCCATTTACAGAGCAGACAAGGAGGTTGTGGTGCTGCAGGGGCTGGGTCTTTGCAGGATACACAGTGACTGTAGGCTCAACTAGGAGGGAAAAGGTGGAGGGAGTAAGTGAGGAGGACAGAGGAAGCCTCCTTGGCTGGCTGCCTTTCTGCCTCCAGTCTCCAGTCCTCAACTCCGGTCTCGGGCAGGCCTCCTTCAAAGCCGGCCATGTGGACCAACAGGAGTTAGTGTCTTAAGTGTGGAATTAATCCTTACAGCAGGGGCCCATTGGATTTGAGAGATGTTCAGGAAACTTGTGGAGTTTTTTCCATAGTATCAAATAGTTATTTATTGTTGAATGGAAGTGTTTACAAATCTTTGTAAGGAATATAGTATATTAATTAAAAGTGTGATTTCTGAAGCCCAGGCTACCTGGGTTCGAATGCAGACTCTGTCTCTTCTGACTGATCCTGGGAGAGTTTTTAAGTTCCTCTATGCCTCAGCTCTCTCACCTATAAAGGGGGTAATAATGTTAACTTACCGCTTAGGGTTATGTGAGCATTAATGCACCTAAAGTACATAAAACGATGGCTGGAATTTAGCCTTCAATACACATCAGCTATTTCTCATCCTTGTTTGCTTGGAGAGAAAATATGATTCAAAGCAGTGTGGATAAACTGGGGAAAACCTCAAGGTAGATGGAGATAGAATGTGAAATCCTGGGAATGCTACACTGCCACCTTAGAACGCCACAGAAATGGTTCTACCCTGGGAAGCAGGCATCTTAGACAGAGGTGATTCCCTAAGTCTGTGAGTTCAGTCCCAAGAAGGGCGTGATTCCTGAAGGACAGGGAAAGGAGCAAGGAAAGTCATTCATTTAAAAAGTTCTTATAATTACATCAGCAGATCAATACCTCTCCTTTGCAAAATAAGCATTTCTACTATTGGAATTGTCATTTCACAACTGTCTCTCTTTTTTAAGCTGACATTTGAGTTCAGGGCACAGTCTAGGATTCATTAATGTGTGCTTAGTGCCTGAGACAATTCCTGACACTACCAGCCTCAATAAACACAATTAAAAAAAAAAAGGGGGGGGGGGGCAGCCGATGGCGCAGCGGTTAAGTGCACACGTTCTGCTTCTCAGAGGCCCGGGGTTCACTGGTTTGGATCCTGGGTGCAGACACAGCACTGCTTGGCAAAAGCCATGCTGTGGTGGGTGTCTCACATATAAAGTAGAGGAAGATGGGCATGGATGTTAGCTCAGGGCCAGTCTTCTTCAGCAAAAAGAGGAGGATTGGCAGTAGTTAGTTCAGGGCTAATCTTCCTCAAAAAAAAAAAAAAAGAAGAAGAAGAAGAAAGCTGGGGAAAACCATCTTTATAAACCACAAAATGGTAGAATTAAGATTCATGGTAAATCATTGCTAACAATTTTGCAACATATTTCATTAAATAAAAATGTTTAAATTCCTAGCATATAAAGTAACAAACAGAATCAAAATATAAACCACAAACTGGAGAAAATGCTGAACCAAATATCAGAAAATTGTTAATCTTACTGCATAGAGAACCACTAAAATCACTGAGAGAAACACTAGGACCCCAGAGGTGATAGACAATGATAATTCTTAGAGCAATAACAACAATTAGCCAATAAATATGTGAAAAATGTTCAAGAACTTTAGAAATCAAAGAACTAAAAGTTACAAATTAAAGAGAGAAATTTCCAGCTGAGAAGTTGGCAGTACTGAAAAAAAGTCTAACAAAAGGGAATGGGAGGTAAATTGTTACAACTGTAAAAAGAAATAATATGTAACTACTTAAATAACTACTAGCTTCTAAAAACAGTAACACCAGTATGGTAAGTAACAAAATTATAATTCAAAGACTAGTTAAACATTTCAACTAGGTAAAGATTTACACACTAAGACACACACACAGGAAACTCAGACCTAAAACAAGCCTCAGAAAGATCAGAACCGCTTCAGAGTCCCCCCACCTCCTCAAAATTAAGTCTGATACTGGTGCAGGCCCAGTTCTGTGGTGGTCGGGTTTGTGTGGTCCACTTCTGGGGCCTGGGTTGAATGTTGGATCCCCATGCAGACCCACACACCTCTCATCAAGCCATACTGCCACAGTGTCCACATATAAAATAGAGGGAGATTGGCGCAGATGTTAGCTCAGCAACAATCTTCCTCAAGCAGAAAGAGTAAGATTGGCAATGGATGCTAACTCAGGGCCAAACTTCCTCACCAAAAAAAAAAAAAACCTGATTTTTTTTTTCAATGAAATGCATATGCACAGCAACACAGGCACACTTATTTCCGGGGTTTCAGGATTAGGACTGGTGTGTGCTAAGATCAGCCTTTGACTGGTGTCCTCACATTCTCCCAAACCCTTTACAGTCCTCATCTCTCCTGCCCTAAAACTTTAGCCCAAACACAGATCTCACCTTAAATGTCCCTCCTGATGTGTCTAACCACCCGCCCCAACCAATGTTCCCTCCCTCTCCAGAGCCCTGCGCTGCCACTGCCCCCCCCCCCCCCCCCCCCCCCCCCCCCCCCCCCCCCCCCCCCCCCCCCCCCCCCCC